ATAGTGTAGTTTGTAGTCGATAGTTTATCACCTTTAAATCTATTTATTTTAGCTATGAGAATGAATACGAACTGCAATCAGATGCTGAAGGATTGTGTGTGGCTGAAATGAAGGCCCTTTCAAGGGATATCAGAAGAAATTTCGGCGAATTTGAACTTGCCAATTTTGAGGATATTGATGCCGATTAACACTTATTATAACAACCTCTTACTCGATTATATCGATTCTACAAAAATTGCCATATTTCCTACTAATTTTTAATTAATTTAAATGGACTACCGTAATTCTAGTCGCTCTGCAAATGGTTCTAGCCAAAAAAAAAATATTATTTCTATTTTTTGTATAACTTCCGGTTTCTCGATTTTTTTGTATGAATACTCGTCACAAAACGGTTATGCTTTTTTCCGTCTTCTTCTACAGTATTTTTTTTCTGCCGTGCCCCCAAACTCAAGAAATTACCCCCAAAAATCTCTACAATTTTCTGCAATCAAAATGTATATTTTTATGATTTTAAATTGAATTTTTTGCCAGATCCTCAATCCCAGTGTCGCTTTATTTTCCCCTTCAAAAAAACCCTCATTTTATTGCCTTTTCGAATTATCAGAAATTTTTCTATTTGTCATTTTTAATTTCCAATTTTATTCGTCAATTTTTATTTTGGGTAATTCGACCAGAGATTCCACTTTTGTTTCTTAATAATTCTCGTTTTTGATTGGGTGCTCAGCACACTACAAACTACAGTGCCTTTTCTTTTATATTTATCGATTTTCAGAGTATTATACCCGCATTTAATTATCACATTTCATGCTTGCAATAAAGTATTTACTTTATTAACGCTAGAAACTGCACAAAACTTCAATATTGGCAGGAAACTCACAACGGACCGTTCGTCGGTAGTACAGGCGCGTAGTCGCCCGCCTTTATGGTCTAATCGAGTTTTTAAGTTTTCAAAAACAATGATTCGTTGCTTTTTGTTCTTATTTTCTAACCTTTTCTTGTTCTTTTTATATCACGTTTATAGTTTTAAGTTTAATTAAACTTAATAAATGCATGTTTTATACCTTTTTATTCGACTTTGGTCACCCCTTATTCCTTCATTTGTAACAAAAATGCCATAAACGCACGAAAGAGTTCGTCGGTAGTACAGGCGCGTAGTCACACGCTTTTATGGTCTAATCGAATTTTTAAGTTTTCAAAAACAATGATTCGTCGTTTTTCTTGTCATTTTCTAACCTGTTCTTAGTCTGTTTATATCTAGTCTATAGCGTTAATCATTTAAAGTATTAATTAAAATCAATAAAGTAATGTTCTATACTTTTTCCAACCTTTTTTTTACTTTTGCACCCCTTATTCTTTCATTAGTCACAAAAATCCCTTTGCTATAAACGCACGAAAGAGTTCGCATTTAGTACAGGCGCGTAGTCTCTGTTTTTTAGCGTTATTCACTTTTTGCTATTTCAAAAAAAATCGCAAAATTTAAATCTCATGGTTTATTAACTGGCTTATGTCCATTCGCGGCGTTTGCAGGCGATTTATTTCACTCCTTCATTCCATGATTTCAATGTTTCTAGCTAGTCGCCAAATCATCCCTTTTTCAGATCAAATGGAGCCACCAATGAAAGAACAAATGTGTGACAAGAAGAACCATTTGGAAGACAAGCCGGACATGAAGTTACAATTCCTGCCAGAAGTACTACTACTGGAGATTCTGTCAAATCTCGAGTCCGACGTTTTGATGCGGATTTGCGGGCTGATTCCGAGTGCGATCCCGCTCTGCTTCGGTCTCAAGAAGCACTTCGACCGGGTGAAAATCCATGACAATGCGGTGATCATCTACCCATCGAGGGAGAGCCGTCTGGAAGCCACGTGGACCCCAGAACAAGCCCACTACATCTTAAACGGATGTACGATCCGAGCCCTCGATTACAACATGGATTACGGAGGGCAACTGAATATCAAAGGAGTCGAGGATCTGTTTATACACGGAGCCCGTCAGTCCATTGAGGCCACCCATCGAGCCGCCGCCCTCGTCCAACAATGGCGGCCGAACACGGTCTTCCAGTGAGGCAAGTCTTTATGTTTAAAAAACCAAAAGTGCGCGGTTAGGTGTTGTAAACAGGTTTTTAATATAGTCTTTTTATAGGTACCGGCTTCATGGATATCTTCTCTACTCTCTTCGTCAACAAAGAAAATTGATCTATATCTGCTCTATTGCGTTTTTCGTTGTTGCTGGTCGTTGATAAATCATTTCGTGTTTCTTTCTCGTTGTTGCGAAAATGTCGTTTTTCGGCAGTTTTTCTTTTCTTTTTCTGCGATTAAACCTTTGGGGTCAAATGCAATTTGGAGCCGGGAGTTATCTAGAATGCACACTAAGGCGAGAATTATGCACTTTCGAATGAGAAGCCGTGAGAACGGGCCGCCCCAATCGCCTATCTTAGCACTGATCACACTGACTGTTAAAAGAATTCCCGTTTCTAGCATAAAAAGGTTTTTGGCTCACTTAACTATTCGTTGCTTCTTTTCTGCCTTTTTCTTCTTTTTAGATCGATTGATTGAATTGGATGATTTCTTTGAGTTTTCTTACAGCTTTTTTCAGGCAATACTTCATGTCGAGTGGATGAATGTGGAGAGGATCGAATGGCAGCTTCTACTCCTCCCACCACTCCTTCAAGCTGTTTCTTGCGGTTAGTCGTATTCGTGTTACCTCACCGCCATTTTAGATGCGCGATATCGAATAATGACGATGATGAAGATGAGGGATGGCTAAGAAGAAGCAGAAGAAAGAAGAAGAAACGACTAGAGACAACACTTTCCACGGTATGGCCTTTTCATCCTTCCTAACAAGCCCAGGTTTCATCCAAAAAGCTGCGAAAAGCTCTACATATTTTTAAAACGTTTTTTTCAGGCGTAATTCATCTGCGAGCGGTGACGTCTCTTCGAATCCAAGATTTTCCAGGTCCATTTCTATCGAAAAACAGCTTCAACCCACTTCTTTTCAGTGACGATGCGAATATGTACCAGGCGCCAAGTCGAGGATTCGAGAAAAATGCAGAAGGAATTATTGGAAATCCGCCGGCCGCGAGATACGGTAGTTTTAATTAAATTTTTTGATTCAGGTTGAATTCGCAAAGCTGCGTATGAGGATGTAGACGGGCAAATGGTCGAGGGTCTCTACAGCAAGGGATTCATTTCGTATCTCAGGTATGGAATTGTTTTCCTAAATGGTCTCGGATAGCATGCCCGCGTCAGCTGCTTCGAAATGCCGAAAACATGATATTCTTGAAAAGTACTTACTGATCATATTTTCTATTGGAAATTGCTGAAAATGATTTTTAGGAACGAATTCTCGAAGGGCAAGGATTCGCGCCTCTACCAGCTGCCCGTCACCATTCAACAAACGATGGTAAATACATTTTCAATCAAAATCGTTGAATTGTCCTTTTAGGATTCACAAAATTCCGCGCAAAGATTGATTCGTGAATATTTGCGAGCAGACGAGGAGAATAAAGGAAGAGGTTTTTCATGTTTTTGTCGTAAATTGAAATTTTTTAGATCAGAAAGAGCAGCTGGACAGATATCGACGGAGCTACCGCATCGCCAAGGACAACATCATCACCTCGATTCGACGCTTTTATCAGGTTTTTTTGAAGTTTCTATTTTCCATTCAGATACGCGGACGTGAAACGGTGGCAACGGAAGTAAAATGGACCGGCTGGCGTGATGGGACTGAGAGCACCGAGGATAGGTAGGAAGCTGTCAGTTTTTGGGTTCATTTGCAATATCGGGGGATACTTTTGAACGCACGACGTTTCGCACCTTTTTTGCGCCTTTTTCCATTACCCTATTAAGAAAATGTTCTTTAAACGAAAGAAAAAACTAAAAAACCCTTAGTTTTCATGAAATCTAAATAAGTTAGTTATTTCAGGTATCGTGGTTTTGAAGTGCGTTTGGACAGGGGACCGGATGCGTGACGCGTGAATGGATGCCACTTCTTCAAGCTATTTGTTGCGGTTAGTCGTATTCGTGTTACTTCTCCGCCTTTTTAGATACGATATATGGGATGATGATGATGAATCGACCGCGAAGAAAGAAGAAGAGAAAAGACTAGAGCCAACACTCTCCAAGGTATCGTAAAAACTTGATTAGATAATATGCTATTCAAACTTTGTTTAGGTTTATATTTCACGAAAAGAAGGCTGAGAAAGAGAAAAGCCGACGACCTGTGACGGCGTTGAAGAAACAAAAGAAGAAAACCTTCTGAAATGTTGACTCGCGGTTAGTCGTTTAATAATATACTTCTCCGGCATTCTTTTAGAGAAAACGAAGGATGTGACGAGTGTCTGGAAATGGGAACAAGAAGACAACTGCAGAAGACGATGAAAACAAGAAGAAAAAGACGGTCAATAGAAGATTAGGTATTGATTGTTATTGAGAATGGTTTTTAGAAACGAATTTGAATGATGAGTGGATGCGGTAGCAACTGCAAACAGAAGACAAATAGGTAGCAACAACGCGTATATATCCCAATCTTCTGCTTTTCAGATATTAGCCCCATCGAAAACGCGAACGACCGAACGGGTCGAGCAGGAAAAACGGTAATATCAAGTTACTTCACTGAACGGCTTTTTGTAGGGAAACGCATACCCGTTGCTGAGCAATGATGACGCCGACAAGGCTCCGGAGCTGGTCGAGTCCCCAGCCGAGCTGGCCCTCGTTTGTTACGATATCCAGAAGGAGGCTGGGAAAAGTGAAGACCAGGCAATTCGAGCTTGCCGGAAAGAGAAGAAGGTTCGAAAAAGGCGGCAGAAATGCATTCTCTTCCAGCTTTTGAAGGCAGGATGTCCAGCTTCTTCTTTGGCCATTTCATACGGAAGCACAACTTTCAAAAGTGCAAGGAGCAGCTGATCGCACAGGTGAGGATACGTACTAGATTACTGAAATAATTATTCAACCAGCGCCCAAAACCCGCTTCGCGGGCCTTGGGCGCTGGAATGCGGCTTTTGCATGAACAATTTGACTTTTCCATAGCTCGGGTCCTTCGGACCCTCCTCCCCCTACCGACCACACACGCGCGTGCAATTGGGAAGAATGAGGAAATTTCTATTTTTTCACATTATGTAAATTACCCTCAAAAATGAGTAAAACCGGCTTTAACTTTGTAAACTTGTATTTTGTCGCAATTCTGAAAACGCCATCGGAAAGAGGAGGGTCGATTCCCCCAAGTGACGGAGAATCAGAGCGTTTTATACACCGGAAAGCCCTCAAATCGGGCCTCGAAAGTGACATCCACACACACACACACAGAGATACACTCCAAAATTATATAAGGTAGGATTAAGGGGGTCAACATCGCCGATAAAGATGCTGTTGAGAGGAAGAAAAAGTCACCGCGCTGTTCAGGTATGTTGATTACTTGCTCCTCATATTGTTTTTAGGCCGTTCTTCTTCGCCTCGTTTGTAACTCTTCGAAAGTATGTGATGACAAAGTTATTACTTACTGGACAATCGGAAACTCGTAGTGAAAATCACAAACTAAAAATTCTGATTTTTTTCAGAAAGAAGTAACTTGTTCGTGGCGATGATGCATCGGGAAAATGTAGCTACAACGTCGGGCGATATCATATAAGAATGGGATTATTCTAGGTGAAAGTTGCTACTTCAACACCTTTTTAGGCTTTCTTTTAACGAGAGTCGAGCATCGATCCGCTCACATCCTTGGCTACTGATCTCAATTCTACAATATCAGAGCGGCAATAGGGTAAAAAAAGGTTTCTTTAGTTATTGCCTTCTTCTAGGATCTGTTGCTTCGGATGACGACGGACTGGCTATACCAAACTCTTTGTGAGGTTGCACAACCAATAGCTGGGGGGCAGATTGGCCGTTCCTAGACAGCTTGAACAAGTTTGTCCTTCTGATGTTAGGAAAAAGCTCTCATTTCCGGATCACTAAAAGTCAGCTGCACCCAGGCTCGTGTCGAAAATGATGGATCTATGAGCATCACTAGCAAAACGATTTGCGCAAGGCAAGAAACTTCTATAAATAAATTAAAACATTTCTTCCAGTGCCTAGATTCCCGTCACGCTAATTCCCGATGTGCTTTCCCACTTACGCGACAAGCTTTCTACAATGAAGCGTGAAAGGGGTAAGGTCCCAGAATCGTTGTCATTTTGCTTAGTTGAAATTACGCTGAACGGGCTACAGCACGTTGACGATTGACAAGCAGCTTCTACTCCTCACACGACTTCTTCAAGCTGTTTGTTGCGGTTAGTCGTATTCGTGTTACTTCTCCGCCATTTTAGATACGATATCGGATGAAGATGAGGAATGGACTGCGAAGAAAGAAGAAGAAAAGAGTGGAGTCACACACTCTACACATAATCGCCCTTTTCATCTTTGCGAACAAATCGGAGTTTCGTCCAAAAGCTTCAAAAAGCTTGACGAAAGCTTAAAGGAGTTATTACTTTCTTTGTAAATCTTGAAATCCATAAAAGATGGCTTTTTAGATAATATGCAGCTTCGACATGGAGGAAAGTGATGGCCATTGGCGTGGAAAGAAGAATCACTCGAGGATGACCTCGTCAAGCGAATCAAGAGAAGAACTGGGATGTCTAAAAAGGTCATTTAAGCTATCGAAATGTTGTTTCGGTATCAATTTCGCCAAACGAAGACGAACAAGGGGACGTTTTTTAGAGCGGCCGAGTTTCATGTTGTGACAATGCCTATTCGGTGCAGAATTTTTATGCTGATCAAGACGTATTTTTCGGAATCTGCGAAACGACCAAAATCAGAAAGTTATGAAGCTTGAAAGGCGAAAAACTGCCAAAGTTGGCCATTTTGGATATTTTTTACGCTCTAGAGCTGCGTAAGGTTTCATACATGGTCGTTTAGCAGATTCTGAAGCGTACGTTTTGATCAGCAAAAAATTCCGCCGTGAAACTCCGTGCCCACCTAAAAGCGCCTCTTTGTAAGAAAGAGAAAAAACCTCGCGACTTGATGGCGTTGAAGAAACGAAAGAAGAAAACCTTCTGAATTGTTGACTCGCGGTTAGTCGTTTAATAATATACTTCTCCGGCATTCCTTTAGAGAAAAAGAGATGATGAAAATGATCGAGGATCAAGATGAAACATAGATGCAAAATTTGACTACCCCCTAGTCAAACCACTTCCTGGATGATTGGTAGTGGTAAAAACGAAAGAAAATATGATGGAATTCTAGGGTAAAACCACTACAGAGCTTGACTACTCCCTGGTCAAATTAATATGAAAGTTTTTTCATATTTCGTTTGACCAGGTGGTAATCCACAATTGCAAGAAAATTTTCGCCCCATACGTCGAAACTGAGCGTTTTTGGGCTTAACCAATCGAAAATTCGCACCTTAATCTGCCCGTACTCCAAAATCTAGCATCCGAGGTAAATTTAGCGAGTTTTTATAATAACAACCCTTTTTTCTTTGACCAGCCCCCCTATCACCATTTTGCTCGGAGATGGTTTGACTAGGGGGTAGTCACATTTTGACCAGGGGGTGATCAAAATTTGACTAGGGTAGTCAGGATTTGACTAGGTGTTTTTGTATTGAATTACTAGTTAGCGAATGGTGGCATGACTAGCCCCTAGTAATAGTTTGACTAGGGGGTAGTCAAAATTAGACCAGTAGGGGTAAAATCAAATTTGGCACTTTGGTACCAGCCCAGATTACAACACAAAAATCCGCAAGAAATGTTGACGAATTCCACCAGCAGCTGAATAGAAGCTCGCAGGCAGCCATGAAAATTGCCGGCCATGGTCGCGCCTCCCGGTGAGCAAGGAGGCGTCAATGTTTTCGCTATAGAATCGAGCCGGAACGGGCAAAATCATCGTAAACTCTTCAAAAACGGTTAATACAGGAGTCTTGGTCTATCATTTCCGTTTTCCGAGAACTTTGATGATTTGAGAGCCCTTAGGATCGTTTCAGAGCCATGAATTAAGCAATCTTTTAGTTAAAACGTTTTCACGCTTAAGCAAGACTGGACACCAGGTTTTCCGGCCCTTTCTACTATCACCCTCTGGGGAAGTTGCAATCGGGTTTTTGCGGCTTTGATATTTGGGCCTCCAACTCAGTGGAATCAATTTTTTTGATCTTTCGGTTTCGACCATTTTGTAGCAAAAGAGCTCAGAAAAACGGTCCGCTACAGTGAATTTCCTTAAAACAGCCCTGGAAAGTGCTAGGCCTCGGTTATTGTGGCAGAGGGCGCGACCAAGGGAGGCAACTTTTCAAGGTGTATGCGCATTTGTATCGAAGCGTCCGGGGGAAGCTGTGAAGATTTATTGTGGATTTTTGTTTCTCAATTTGTGCTTTACGTCTTAATTAAACTATTAGTTACGATAAGTTCTCTACCTCATTAGAATTTTAGGAATTTCCAGTCCATTTAACAGTATCAAGAAATTGCGGGGAACTTTTCAGCCACCCTGTACTTCTTAGCTCTAAAATTATATTGCAAGTCAGTAAGACTGGAAATGTAACTGAATTGTGCTTTCCATACCATTAATGCGCGAATTTTAACAAATCTATCTTGCCGTCCAGTAGCTGATTTTTGCCAAAAAGATAACTGAATTCCACTACCCTACCATTAATGAACCGACTATAGTTGCTCGTTCTACCCCTCCCTTGTAAGCCAGCAGAAGCCCTGTAAAATTTGGGCTCCAACTCCCCCTCCTGCTCCTTACTAGTCCGACGTTTCCTCCCCACAACCGGTATATTCATACTGTCCTCCCCTCCACCCATCAAAAGCGCCTACCATGACTGTACTACCCCTTTTTCTATACTCACCACTTCTTTTCTACAAGAATACACCCCACTGGCTGACATGCAAATGTGGAAAGAAGGGAGAGGAGAAGGAGAGCATGAAAGGTGGGGGATGCAGATGGAAAGGAGTGTCTCGTTATGTGTCAAAAGGCGTGACGCGACAACAAATAAAAATAAATGCTCCTTCTCTCTCTCTCTCTTTCTCTCTCTCTCTCTCTCTCTCTCTCTCTCTATTTTGAGAAGACCCCTGAGGGCACCATTCAATTCACCGACACGACCGCCAGCCCCCCACTACCCAAATACCCCTGAAAACAGAAGGAAAATGGAAATTGGGAATCAAAATAAGGGAAAATCTGGGAACGGCTTGATGGTACCTTTAAGCTGGAAAGAAAGGCTTGATACTAGACCACAATAACACCTAGATACGCCGTTTTAATCCAATGACCTCGACTTTGTAGCTTTGAGACTAAAACTTTCGACGCTGGGCTTAAATTTCCTTCCAAACTGGATAGAAACCAAAGTATGGTTTGAAACTTGTCTCTACCTTTAAAGGGCTCCTCAATCTTGTCATTTTTTTGTTTTGAACATCGTAAAACGCATGGAAAATGTCTAAAACCCTTTCATTATTCAGTTTTTCAAGGATTTAGACCTGAAAGGTTTTTGTCAGATTGCTGAAAATAACCTCAAAAGATGCGCGAAACAATTCTGCATCAAATGGAGTGTTTTGTACTCTTGATATAACGCTATTTATGGGCAAAAAAGCGGGAAAACCGAACTGCTCGCTCCGCGCCCCCGAAACGCACGCAACCTGGTCCACCCCAATAACATAACCGTCGACCCTCCGGGGGGCCAGCAGTTTATTGACGCTTTTGGCTCAACTCAATAAACTCTGAACTGGGAGGGGGGACCATGACGAAAATTTTTGTAATAAAATAGCGGCAATGTTTCTAAAGTGTTTTTACAACATTCTTTAAGCGTTAATACTTTACAAATTCTGGCTAAAGATGCAAAAATATCGGGTTGTTGACCAAAATTGCGCGTAAAAAGTTCTTTCGAAGGTTTTTTATGGTTTCATGCTCCGATTTTCTTTCTATGTTTTAAACTGGAATACAAGCTACAAATTCAAATATTAAGATTAAAAATTAAAGTATAATTTTTCAGTTACTGGCCATCATCCTAACCCACGTTTGGTGCCATTTCATCGGTATCTACATCCATATTGGAAAGGATAGAATTGCTAGAAGTAATTTACCAATTTACGTACCGTAATCTAATCGATTTTAGATACCTTTCTGTCCGGTAGAAATGCTGTTGAAGCGGAAAACTCGGCCGAGGAGCACAGCCAAAAATTGGTAGGGTGGACCTTATAAACCAGGGTAACTGAATTTTTTTTCTAGAATCGGCTTTTGTCGAGCTTCCTTCCGCTTCATCTTGTTTCGACCACCAGGCACCAGATTGCTCAATATACCCCTCAGATATTCGCTGAACATTACAGTCAGGTAGAAAAATCTATGTAACTAAAAATTCTGTGACCTCCTTCCAGGCGACGGTCTGTTATGGTCGTCTACAAGGGCTAGAAGCTGTACTCGCACAATGTTCTGCAAATGATGCAGCGCGTGTCATCAAAGAATTTGATCAAAGGTTTTTGTGAAATTAACCTTAAAATATTGATTTTGTTAGAATAGAGAAAATGTGCGCGTCAAGAGGATGTATTCGTATTCCATCAGATGGGAT